AAATAAATTGGTTAGTCTCTAAGGTGCAACAAGTACTCCTTTTCTTTTTATGAATCTATAAGAACCTAAGACAGAGGATTCTCTGTACCATCTCAGAGCACCAGACCACCCAATTTAATGTCCTGTCTCCATCTGTGGCCAATCACTAATGTTTCATAGGAAAGTGAAATAAAACCCTCAAAATACATCTGGCCATTGGGGGAAAAATCCTTCCTGACCCTTGCAGGTGATTCACTGAAGCTCTGAAGCAAGACATTGGATTATATTCATTGTTTTAATGAAGAGTTGCAAGTGTTATGAGCATGTTGAGCCAAAAAAGAGCTTCCTATTCTCTCCAGGGCCCATGAAGGGAAGGACTGGAGATTCATGGACTATAAGGTCAGAAAGTACCACCATGGCCAGTGGACCTAGTCCCCATTTTGGGTTTTTGATTGATTGTTTGTTTTTGTTTTGTTTTTAGTATGTTTCAAAATGCCTTCTTATTTTCTTTAACTCTGTTAGCCATTTGATATTTCATTGACAAGGAAAGCCAAATGAGTCAGTTACTTATTGTTTTTAAATGTGTAACTTATATTTATTGTCATTTACTTCCATTTCCCCCCCCATTTTTTATATATTAATTTTATATACTTATTTTTTTCGACGTTTTATCTCCACTTTCACATCTCCTTTTAACCAGGATGGTTTTTTTTTCTAGCATAACTTCTCTGGATGATTGTGCACTCATGATGTCTTGGGGATCTTTGAACAATTCCGAGGTTCTCTCCTCCTTTAAATTTATGTTTGCAGTAAATTATGCCGACAACTGCTTTCACCTGTAGACAACTGACCCTTTCAGTGTTCCAAATTGACATGTTAGTGGTTGATGCCATAATTTTTGCACACAGTAAATATAACCATATGATTCTCACTAGTACCTAGTCAACTACTATTGTGTAGGTCAGTGGTGTGCCTCTGACACTAGTTGATACATCCAGTGGGAGAGACTGCAACCTGGTAGACTGCTGCCCTCTGCCTTTTGGATGGTATGCACTGTGCACAGTGACAGAGGGCCTTGTGCCTGGTAGTTTCTTGAGCAGCCCGCTGTGCTGCTGCAGGGCACTGATGGTGAAGAGTTTCCCAGTCTCCTATTTCTCAGTCCTTCCCTTGTGGAACCGCACTTCTCATTGTACAGTACTGTTGCCATTATTTACACTTCAAATTATTTTTTTAATGGCAGTAACATACACATACAAAAGATTCGGAGCCTGATTCTGTGTTGTGTAGCCCTTACACCAGCACCAAGTGGGTGTGAAACAATGACAGTTAAGAATGTTAGCATTTTCCACCCCATTTACATTCATTTTGCACTGGTTCAAATGAGTATAAAGGTAGAGGGCAATGGAGAATCAGGCCCTGGCACTAAGAATACAGTGATATGGCATATATGAAATGGGGGGTAGTTTAATTCCTCCTTTGGGGGGAAAAAGCATGATACAGAGGTCCAGTTGAGAGAAAGCTCCATGAGTTTCTCTGCTTAGAGTTATTTCAAACCTATTCTATTATCCTCTTATCCCTACTAAATAAGCAAAAGGTTTTGTCCCTATAGTTGGTGCTTCTGTCCTAATCAGCTCTGTAGATCCTGTGCCCTTCAGCTATTTGACAGCACAACTCTAATGGAGATGCATATTAGGATCTGCAAGTACCCGTCCTCAGAATTCACATGAAAGGAGGTTCCAGACGGTGGAACAGGCCACACAGAACCTTGGGATACATTCTATTGTTGCTGGATTTCCTGCAGGGCTTGGAGGGAGGACAATGTGCATGATCCACACCCCCGCCCCCTCCTCACCCCCCACATAATCCCCAAGTGGGTAGGCACTTGGATGCTACAGACCATAAAATACGCAGGGAGAACAGTGCAGTAAAGTTGGCTGGCCACCCCACCATATCAAGTCCAGGGACCCCTCTGTGTGACTAATCTGGTGGTGAGGGAAAAGGACAATCCCAGCCTTTGAGGTATTGCATGTTGTCTAATATTAAACAAATAGCTGTACAAATTCTAACACTGGGTCTGCCCCTGCAGGCTCTCTAGGCTCAGAACTCCTGCTGACACAATGAGAATAATTGTTTAGATTTGTATAGTAACAGAAAATAGGACTCTATGAAAGTTTGCTGTGAAAGTCAATGTGAGCCCAAGGAGTGAAATATGATAGACCTTGGCAGCATGGTAGAAATAAACTGTTCCAAGTCCTTTACAGTAATGGACCTCATAAAGATATTTTTCTGTTAGCTTGGCATTGTTTCACTAAAGACTTTATGTGAATTTTTCATCTAAGGCACTTTTAAACTCTAACTAAAAGCAGTGGAACCACACAATTTATGGTAAGCATTTCCAAAGTCACCATCAGAAGAGCCCCATTCAGAAAAAAAAAAAAAGTGTTATTCTCTTTAGAGAAGAACAAGATCCTGTAGTATGATTAACCATTTGCCTAGAATTCCCTACTTCACCAGGCCCCGATCCTACAATTCACATAGCACAAAGTGGCCACTGCCTCCACACAAAGCCCCAGTGAAGTCCACCAACCGAGAGGTCCTCTGACTTCAGTGAGGCTCCATGCAGACCCAAGAGTCTGCTGAATATGGCAACAATTCCAGAATCAGGTCCTAATTCATCATTATCATTTTATCTCCATATCATAATGACTGAGAGAATTGTCAGATATATCATTTTATTCCAAATTACCTGCAGAAGTCTAGTACCCCAAATAATTTCTTGCTAATAGTTAATGTTATGTTACAATTCTACAGAGAAGCCACAATTCAGGGTAGAAAAATTAAAAACCTGAAACAGACCAGTAACGTTTAGACATGTTATGTCAGATTGTGTTATTCATGCTTTGTTACATCAAAGTCACCATTTAACCTCAGTTAATCCTTATGCATATCTCTGTGGTGTAGCAAATTCCTGCCAAATATATATATTAACCCTTCAGCAGTAGTGAGCAGGGAGGTGATGTGTACATCCAAGGGCTCGCCACATTGACAATGAAATTGTCTGATGACTTAGGATGTAGTGGTGGGGTTCCGGAAAGTGCGGATGGTGTGTCAGTGCAGATATCCCTTGGTTTGAGCTTCAAATACAGCAATTTAGAAAAACCAGGGCTAGCACCATTAAGGGAGTTTTAAAAACCAGACAGCGCCAAATTAGAGTCAGTCCACCACTTTGTAGCTGGCAAAGGGAACACAGGAAATTAACAGTATTATTTTGAAGAGAGCTTTTCAGCTATGCATTTTTTATCAAGTGTAATATTGGCCATCAGCAGATAGCACCTCAATTCCAAATTCTTCATGAGCTATTCCTCTACTATTAAAATTACATTTATTAATCTGGTGAAAGTTATCTTCCTAGTTATATACCTGTTTATCTCTCAGCATTACAAGTGAAAGAGATTGGCCCTTTCTTGTGAGTCAGGTGTTTTTTTGGACTATGTTTCCCAGCATTCATCAGCTGCCAGGGAGCTGTGCCAGAATCATGACATACTGAATCTTTCCAAAATGCTGTGCTGTGGTGTCCAGTTCTTCACTGTATTGCCATTGTATGGATGCCTAACAGTCTTGTTCACTAAAGTTTAACATGTTATTTTTCAACTGCTCTTGATAACTTGATCTTGCCTAATTGCTATGTTGACGTTTTTCATTTGTGCACCTGTTGACTCCCATCAGCTGCAGTGCAGAAAGCCCAGATTTGAGCCTCAAACAATGAGACAAAATTCCAGCTACATAGATCTGGATACCAGAGCAGACAGTTCTATCAGAGGTTTCCAATGTAAACCAAAGAATGCTTTGTGAGCAGCTGTCATTAATGGTGAAGGATAAATTGCACAGTATCAGCCCAAGGAAAATATTCAGAGTCTTAGTTGCTTTTGTTTACAATAGTGCTAAAATTGTACAGTATTTTTAAAGTGGAATTTATTAAGGCTTTATAGTTTTAAAAATAAAAAGACAAATCTTTCTTTTACAAGGCAGCATATGAGCACTCTGGAGGATGTTTAACAACTTTCTGTTCAGTGATATACCACAAGTGCTTTGGCATGAATGGGAGAGTTAGTCTTTGCCTAAAGTAGCTCAACCGTTGAACACAGTCTTACACCAACAAATTGAATTTTTCAAAAATGCAGTAAATATTCATGACCACATTAAAACAAGAAATAAATACACCGTGTCAGTTCCTCACCCATGTTCACTGTTATCTCTCTTTCCTTGTGCAGTTTATATTTCATAATAAATTCTTGATACTCTGCAGGGATACCACCACTGTCTTTAAATGTAACATTGCTCTTGGAAGGACTGAAACCAAGTGATCCCTCTAGGGCATCATAAATCTTAGTTTTCATTTGGAATATAGGAACCATAAAGAGTATAAAACAATATTTAAGCCTCAGAGAAGACCAATTTTCAATATAAAATGGGATTGTTATGACACTAAAGAAATGAGTAGATGAGAATAGGAACTCTCCAATTTTACAAAAGCCTGCCAGAAAGAGAACAAAAGGAAGCATTTGATAGCCAGGGATTGTACATGATAGATCAGTGACCAGAAAGCTGAAATTGTCTACAAGGATTTATTTGTCTTTTTCTGACACATATATCACAGAAATATGAAGTATATACATTAAAGTATTATACTTAAAAACAAATGAGGAACACAAGCAACAGACGCGACATGATGTGCTTAAGTAAAGTATCAGTTTCACAAATAACAGGTCAGTTGTTTTAACAGACTTTAAAAAATTCAAAAATGTTTTAAATGGGGTTAAATAATTTTATGGAATTAGGTCATATTTGATCATTTTTTCTAATTGTAGACAACATCTTGATTATGTTATGCTTTATCAAAGAGAACATCCAATTATATTTTACTAGTTCTTGGAAAGTCAAGAAAAAGAAGGGAAAAGAAATCTTCAAATTGCTCAGAACCCCACAATATTGCAACTTTCTTTTTTCAGACAACCTCTAAGGTTTCCACAGAACAACAAAAGTGGACAAGCTTAGAATCATGCAAGGGAAACTTAGACATAATATTTTATAAGGTAAGAAATATGCTTATGTTTTTATTTAAAAAGTGTAAGGATATGACTTAGGTTAGTAATGAGAATACTTATAATAATGCTGAGAAAAATAAAGGGATGGGGAAGTTGAATGGTTTCAGTTTCTTGTGAACTACCATCACAAACCTCCATCTACCATCAGTACCTCTTCCAGCATTCAGAGGGATGGGGCCAGGTGTTCTACAGTGGGTTCAGTTTCTTGTGAATGACCATCATAAAACCGTTACATGTTTGCCTAGTTCTGCACTGCTGGAGGTCTTTTCCCCACTTGCGTTAGCTCTGTAAAATAAACAAAATCATAAAGAATTAGATGTCTAATCACATTAAAGAGTGACCTATTTCTGTGGACTTAAGGTTTATTGATAGAGCATTGAGTACAAGTCCAGTCTGCAACAGGATCCAAAGATGAATTGAAGACTTCAGTCAATGGCCTTTTCAATTGCTTGGTTTTTACCAACACCAAATTATTTATTTGCATTGAAAAAAGCAAGAGTTTTAAAATATGCCAATCAATTGTCTTCAGGCTGTGTCACAGTACACTATTGATTCTAAATTCTGTACACTGAAAGCGGGAAAACTTGGAGATTTTAGTTTACAAAGAACTTTAAAATGATAGCATTCAACTAATTTAAAAGAAGTAAAGGTTATTGAAATTAGATATCTGCATTAAAAACACTGCAATGATCTCATTCTTGAATGATAGAGATAATAATAGCTGTGCCAGACTCTGAGTGTTTATCTAAGTTTTTTTAAAATGTCATAAGGTCTTGTGATCACGACTAACAAAGCTTGAAGATCAAAATAAAACAAATGTTTTCATTAGCCTGTGTTCGAGAGTTGGACTGTAGGTACAAAGAGTTTACAAGAGACTGAAAAAAAAAGGGAAGAATGCAAGGGAAATACTAACAGATTTTCAGAAGTTATTTTTTTCTCAAATAATCCAGTTTGGGTTGGAACGTTGTCCATATGATCTACAGGGTGTCTGTAAGAAACTGAGCAGCAGCTGAATAGGAAATGGCATCTGTGGCTTGGGGAAAAACTTGGCAAGAAAAATAAACAAACAAACAAATAGGTTAAAACATGTTAACTGACTATACAATTGTAATCTTCTGTGACGCCTGGGGGTAGTTTAATTTCTTAATTTTATTCTCTGGCTTTAAGTAAAGACTGCTAGGTAAGGAGGGATTCATACAGCGAGAGGTACAAAAATACATTTCTGAAAGCTCTTTAAAAAGATATCCAATAGGGAGGCAAGTTTCACTAGATGTCCATGTAGTGAGTAGATGCATCAGTGATCCCGCTCACCTGCCAAACTCTGTGACAGAAATAATTTAAAAGATTTAAATTGACTTGATTGTGGCACCAGTTTCATTGCAGATGAGTCACTGAGAATGACAAGAACAAAGTAAATGCTGAATTTAAAGATGGCAATGTGAAATAAAAGAAAAAACTAAACTGGTGCAGCAAACAGTGAGTACAGGACAGGCCAAGAGACATTGTCTTTTCAACCTGCTATATCATCTGAAGATCACAATGAGCCCTGGTCTACACTACGAGTTTAGGTCGGATTTAGCAGTGTTAGATCCGTTTAGCCCTTCACCCGTCCATACTACAAAGCCATTTTTTCTGACTTTAAGGGCTCTTAAAACTGGTTTCTGTACTTCTCCCCGACGAGTGGATTAGCGCTGAAATTGACCTTGCTGGGTCCAATTTGGGGTCATGTGGACGCAATTTGACAGTATTGGCCTCCGGGAGCTATCCCAGAGTGCTCCATTGTGACCGCTCTGGACAGGACTCTCAACTCAGATGCACTGGCCAGGTAGACAGGAAAACCCCGCAAACTTTTGAATTTCATTTCCTGTTTGGCCAGCATGGCGAGCTGATCAGCACAGGTGACCATGCAGAGCTCATCAGCACAGGTGATTATGTAGTCCCAGAATCGCAAAAGAGCTCCAGCATGGACCGAATGGGAGGTACTGGCTCTGATCGCTGTATGGGGAGAGGGATCCATGCTATCAGAACTACGTTCCAAAAGACGAAATGCCAAAATATTTGAAAAAAATCTCCAAGGGCATGAAAGACAGAGGCTATAACAGGGACCCGCAGCAGTGCCGCATGAAATTTAAGGAGCTCAGGCAAGCCTACCATAGAACCAGAGAGGCAAACAGACACTCCGGGTCAGAACATGCCACTTCTCTGATGAGCTGCATGCCATTCTAGAAAAAAGAAAAGGAGTACTTGTGGCACCTTAGAGACTAACCAATTTATTTGAGCATAAGCTTTCGTGAGCTACAGCTCACTTCATCGGATGCATACTGTGGAAACTGTCTGTAGCTCATGAAAGCTTATGCTCAAATAAATTGGTTAGTCTCTAAGGTGCCACAAGTACTCCTTTTCTTTTTGTGAATACAGACTAACACGGCTGTTACTCTGAAACATGCCATTCTAGGGGCAACTACCCCAGCCCTGTGCGTGGACTCCGTCAATGGACTCTCACGCAACAGGGATGCGGACTTTGGGGACGAGGAAGATGATGATGAGGAGGAGGTTGAAGCACAGCAAGCAAGCGGAGATTCCCCAACAGCCAGGAACTGTTTTTCACCCTGGATCTAGTACCCTCCCAACCCACTGAAGGAAGGCTCGCAGATCTAGAAGGTGGAGAATGGACCTCTGGTGAGTGTACATTTGTAAATATAATACACCGTTTAAAAGCAAGCGTGTTTAATGATTAATTTGCTCTAAAGACTTGGGGTGCATTTTTGGCCAGTACAGCAACTGGAAAAGTCTGTTAATGTGTATGGGGATGGAGCGGAAATCCTCCAGGGACATCTCAATGAAGCTCTCCTGGATGTACTCCCAAAGCCTTTGCAAAAGGTTTCTGGGGAGGGCAGCCTTATTCCGTCCTCCATGGTAGGACACTTTACCATGGCAGCACGTAATCTGGAATCATTGCATTACAATGCATGGCAGCATATGGTCCTGGTGTTTGCTGGCTTTCAGGCAACATGCATTTTTTATCTCTCTGTGTTATCCTCAGGAGAGTGATATCATTCATGGTCACCTGGTTGAAATAGGGGAATTTTATTAAGGAGACATTCAGAGGTAGCCATTCTTGCTGGGCTGTTTGCCTGTGGCTGAACAGAAATCATCCCTGCTGTTAGCCACACGGTGGGAGGAGGGGTGAAGCAATCATCCCAGAGAATTGAGGGGGGTTGTGGGGGTCGTTAGTTGGGTTTGTGCTGCACTTTAACCTGAAAACTGCAGCCCCTCCTTTTAAATGGCAAACCCATTTTAAAGGGCCAACCCAACGGGTGCTTGGTATGTGAAATGAGGACGCTGCTGTTTGAAACCATTCCCACATGCTAGGAAGGTTAAAGAAGCCAAAAGACTGTGGCTTACTATGTCTGCCTGTAAGCCAAATTCTGTTGCCTGCCAGCCCTGTGTATGTGATCTCTCACACCATACCGGCAGGCCCTCAATATATGAGGCAAAATGCGACCTTGTAAAGAAAGCACACGTGCTATGTAATGTTAACAGCTTGGTTCACTGTGAAAGAGTCTACTCATTGTTCTCTAAAATGTCTCTTTTTAATGACTAATCTCCTTTTTTTCCCTCCCACAGCTGCACATGTTTCATCGCTCCACGTATCATCTCCATCCCAGAGGCTATCAAAGATTAGAAGCCAAAAAAAATGCACTTGCGATTAAACGTTCTCTGAACTCATGCAGTCCACCCATGCTGAAAGAGCCCAGCACAATGCATGAAGGGAGACAATGTCAGAGTCCAGGAAAGCACAAAATGAATGCGAGGACAGGAGGGATGAGCAACAGGCCAGGAGGGATGAGTGAGAGGAGAGGTGGCGCCAGCGTGATGAGAGGAGGCAGGATGCAATGCTGAGGCTATTGGATGATCAAAGTGATATGCTCTGGCATATGGTGGTGCTGCAGGAAAGGCAGCAGGAGCACAGACCACAGCTGAAGCCCCTGTGTAACAACCACCCTCCTCCCCAGGTTCCATAGCCTCCTCACCCAGACACCCAAGAACGCAGTGAGGGCAGGCCTTCGGGCACCCAACCACTCCACCCCAGAGGACTGTCCAAGCAACAGAAAGCTGGTGTTCAATAAGTTTTAGAGTGCAGTTTGGCCTTGTCCTTCCCTACCCCACCCTCCAGGTGCTTCCCTCCTCCCACACCCCTCACAGGCTACCTTGGCAGTTCTCCCCCCATTTGTGTAATGAATTAATAAAGAATGCATGAATTTGAAACAACAATGACTTTATTGCCTCTGCAAGCAGTGATCAAAGGGCGGAGGGTAGGGCAGTAGGCTTACAGGGAAGTAGAGTGAACCAAAGGGATGGTTTTCATCAAGAAACAACAGAACTTTCACACCATAGCCTGGCCAGTCATGAAACTGGTTTTCAAAGCTTCTCTGATGCGCAGCGCACCCTCCTGTGCTCTGCTAACCGCCCTGGTGTCTGGCTGCATGTAATCAGTGGCCAAGCGATTTGCCTCAACCTCCCACCCCACCATAAACGTCTCCCCCTTACTCTCACAGATATTATGGAGCACACAGCAAGCAGTAATAACAATGGGAATATTGGTTTTGTTGAAGTCTAACTGAGTCAGTAAACTGCACCAGCACACGTTTAAACGTCCAGATGCATATTCTACTATCATTCTGCACTTGCTCAGCCTATAGTTGAACAGCTCCTGACTACTGTCCTGGGTGGCTGTGTATGGCTTCATGAGCTATGGCATTAAGGGGTAGGCTGGGTCCCCAAGGATAACTATAGGCATTTCAACATCCCCTATGGTTATTTTCTGGTATGGAAAGCAAGTCCCTTGCTGCAGCCATTCCCACAGACTAGAGTTCCTAAAGATGCGAGTGTCATGTACCTTTCCCGGCCATCCCACGTTGATGTTGGTGAAACGTCCCTTGTGATCCACCAGTGCTTGCAGTGCCATTGAAAAGTACCCCTTTCAGTTTATGAACTGTCTGCCTTGGTGGTCCAGCCCCAGGATAGGGATATGCATTCTGTCTATCGCCCCACCACAGTTAGGGAATCCCATTGCAGCAAAGCCATCCACTATCACCTGCACATTTCCCAGAGTCACTACCCTTGATAGCAGCAGCTCAGTGATCGCATTGGCTACTTCCATCATAGCAGCCCCCACAGTAGATTTGCCCACTCCAAATTGATTCCCGACTGACCGGTAGCTGTCTGGCATTGCAAGCTTCCAGAGGGCTATTGCCACTCGCTTGTGAACTGTGAGGGCTGCTCTCATCTTGGTATTCTGGCACTTCAGGGCAGGGGAAAGCAAGTCACAAAGTTCCATGAAAGGGTCCTTACCCATGTGAAAGTTTCGCAGCCATTGGGAATCATCCCAGATTTGCAACACTATGCGGTCCCACCAGTTTGTGCTGGTTTCCTGGGCCCAGAATCAGCGTTCCATGGCATGAGCCTGCCCCATTGCCACCAGGATGTCCAAATTGCTGGGGCCTGTACTTTGAGAGAAGTCTGTGTTCACATCCTCATCACTCTACTCATCGTGCTGCCATCACCTACTTGCCTGCTTTTGCGGGTTCTGCATATACTGCTGGATAACGTGCATGGTGTTTAGAGTGGTCACAACTGCCACGGTGATCTGACTGGGCTCCATGCTTGCCGTGGTATGGCATGAGCAGGAGAGCAGAGTGGTAGTGGAAGTGGCGGGTGGATGATGATGCTGACAGCAATATGGTGCCCACACAGAAAAAGGCGCAAAATGATTGTCTGCCGTTGCTTTCACCAAGGGATGAGCAAGGGGAGAGCAGCCTGAGGAAGAATGCCCCCCTCAAGGATTACAACCCTGGGTTTAGGGGGCCAATGCTCAAACCACTGAGCTATCCCTCTGCCAATGTTCCAGGCTGGACTGAATCTCCATTAGGCAAAACTTAAAGAAGAGACTGACCTGAGTCACTCCCGTTTATGTGCAGGCACCCCTCACAGATCTTACCGAGGTCTGCCAGGAGTACCCATGTCTGCCCAGGCGCCCCTGACAGACCTCACCGAGCCTGGCCAAGAGCACCCAGGAGACAAAGAAATGGCTACTAGTTGTACTGCAGTATCTGCTGCCTCAGTACTGTGGATGCACTCTGCTGACTTAATGGTTTTAAGTGGGGACACACACAATCAACTGTATAAAATCACTTTCTAAAAAATCGACTTCTATAAATTCAACATAATTTTGTTGTGTAGACATACCCTGAGAGCCCTAGGAAATCTTCTCAAGGAATTATAGACAGGAACAGTCCTTTTGCAAATATAAACCGAGGAGGAACAACTAGATTCAACTGCAGAAATCTCAAGATCCACAAAAGCTGAGGAGGAAACTGATGATGTGGAAGGTAACCTATACTAGTTCAAATGTGTCTGGCCTTACAACTTGATAGTTTTGTTATTCCTGTAGAACACAGCTGTCATGACCATATGCTGTGAGCCAGTCCCCTTAGGTAACCTCACCTAGTCCTAGTAGCATCATTTAGAATGATGGGTGCAATTTGGCTGGTGTCAAGGTGAGAGGGAAGGAGATTACAGGTTAGGACTGACCAACATCCTTAGTGGTCTGGACAGACAATAAAGGCAGAGTCTTTTTAAATATTATGTAGATGGATGCAGCAAGATATACTAATCAAGAGTAAGCATGTGCAGTATTGGCAATGCCCATGTTAAGATTCTCCTATGCGTTCTGTCCAGGATCTAAATGTATATTTTAGAATACATCTTAATCCCTTTCTGATAACCAGTCATTAAAATTATAAATAGGAGTGAGACACTGCTTAAATTCTAAACAGATTTGTTTGTGAATGATGCCCAAATTATGGGACATATCCCCAGCACAGGGACTATTCCCAAGATATGACTTTTAACAGTCCCAGCTAGAACAGAGCAAATAGACAGAATGACTACATCAATGAATATGGGCAATGTTAATAGGATGACAAAAAATGGAAGACAAAAATGCACTTTGTAGATATGTGAAATAGTATCATGTGAGATAGTTAACAGCAGTTTCTTAACAGCTGTTGCGTTGAGGCTCTTAATGAGACAGATAGCATTGCATGCGCATTTTATGTCAATATTTATGTAAATACCTAATAGATGACAGTTCTGATGTGACTGCACTCTTCTCAGTTCAGCACCATAGTGCACCTGTGACTACTCAGTTGTTTGTGACTGGCACCAGCTGGGGTGAATAGTGACAGAAAGTAAATGCAATACATGGCAGGTATGTAAAATACTATTGTTTTGTCATGAATTAACACAGCTGTGCCCCAACCCCCAGGTTCCTGGCAATGGGACAATTAACCAAACGGGCAAGGATAGAAGACCATTCCATTTACTAACAGGTACTGTATACATATATGTGATCACTAACTGCAGTGAATGATTACTTATAGCAAGGAAAAACATGGAGTCCAGTGAATTTGCTGTTGGCAGACAAACAATGTACATAGGATAGGGGAATACACAACAGCTCCTTAACCACTTTGACCAGACCCCTATCATTCAGACTGTGAATAAGATGAGAGACAATAGTAGGTGACTGAATCCTGTACAAATAGCACAGATTCAATTAACATATGTGAATCTGACAAGAGTTGTAAAGTCTCCTAAAGAGCCAGTAAATATGGTTTATCTACATATTTATTTATATCTCCCTCAGTCTAGGAGTCCACATGAACAGTCATAAACAATGTGCTTCCTCATGCAAAGGAAGACATGAAATCCCCTAGACCTGTTTCGTTTCTGCTAGCTTTATATCCTTACAGTGCTTCCTATATTTTTTTCCTGAACAAAACAAGATTCCAGGGAGCTGTTAAGGCATTCCTCCGCCACACTAGCTATCATAGATATTTATATGTCCTCCATCACTGCCATAACCCAGTAATTCACAGTCTTTAAAGTATTTATCCTCACAATATCCTGGTGAGGTAGAATCATCCCAGTTTTACACATTATATCTGCAGAGAGGGTAAGTGACTTGCCCTAGTTCACACAGGCAGTTTCTGAGGAGGAGGGATTTGAAACTTTGGCCAAATCCTAAACTAGTGCCCTAACTATTGGACCATCCAACCAGAGTAAAACAATAACAGGTAACTTAGGTGACCGATCACACAATTTGAAAAGCAAATTCAGCATATTAAATACTTGGATAAATGAGCTCAGAAAAGAGTTCATGAACAATCTATAGATATAAATATGTTCACATAAAGAATCTATCAAACAATGTTGAATAATGAAATACATTAGTAAAAATCATGACCTGCCAACTGGCAATTTGTGTACAGGCTAAGAGGTCAGATTCAAGGCATAAATTGTTTGCAATCAATAATTCAATCTGCTTTTGTTATTAGCTTTTAAAATACAATTTTATTTTATGAATAGATTATAGTTTTACCTTGTAACACTTAGATTCCTCAGTTCCTTATAAAATCAATAAGAAAGGCAAGAGAAACAACAAAGTTCCTTCTTAGTTACAAATTTTTATTAAACAGCATTATGTTCTAAACATTATTTTACAACTATAAAGTTAATCCTTGGGGACAAGTATATATTCAGCCAAATCCTTTTCACATGACTTAGGCTGAAATATCTTTTATTTGAATTGATTTTGTGAAGTTAACATAATACAGAAGTGTTAGAAACCAGTAATTTCAGTTTTTGTATATCGAGAGTTGTGAGCTGTATTTTAAATTATAGCCCTTTTTAATTTTTTTCCAGCAGTCATTGCCTTTGATTTTCAGTATTTTACTTTCATCTTAAAAACGTACATTTCCAAGTCTACCATTACCTAGTAACATACAGAACACAATCTGTGGAAGTCTCCAACCTCTAGGAAGGAGAAATTCAGAGATTCCACTTTGGAAAAGGATAACCATGAATTTAATTCATGGTCATCTAGATTTCAGGCTCATGTGTATTTCAGTACTCTTCTTTATGAACCAGTATAATTTGACTCCATAGCATATTTCAAGAAGGGAGGAACTCAAAATTTCATTGGGATTACTTGGATATAATAACTTTTCATTCTCTGCTGTATATCATGTAAAGATCTGCCAATGAGAAATACAGATCTTCACAATCTTTGCTCAACTAACTGAATCTGTGAACCTGAAAATAAATTGTCAGCCAGTGACATAAACAGCACAACAGATTGGATTGACAACATTGCTTT